GTATTTTAACATTATATTCAAAAAATAAAAAAAATAAAAATCAGTTGAACCGCACAACCTAAGAAATGCATCATCCATTAGTTAATCAACTATGKCAAGTTTTCTGCCACTCATAAATTAAGTGCTTTTTGGTGCTAAACACTATTTTGTCTGTCAAACTGTTATCTATGGTATTTTACACAGATTCACATAAAGACAAACTGTTACCTTGTGATGGTCTGCTGGTAACAAAATGCCTAAACATCCCAYTTAATACTGGTTACTTGCCAAGTTGTCTGTTCTGTTTTGTCACAATTCATTCCTTGAGTTTAGAAACCTTTTATGTTAGAATATTTACTGACACCTATTTTCTCTGAAAATGGTTAGGTATTAACCAGAACAAAATAAGAAAAAAAAAAAAAAAAGAAAAAAAACGTAAAAAAATTTCCAAAGAAAAGTTTCACAAATCTGATAAACTGCAGGTCAAGAAAAGCTTACAAGAATATATAGTTGAAAAAAATATATAAAAATTGATGGGTAACTCTGGGATTTCTTCTAAGATAATAGTTCTGCTAAAATCTTATTGTATGAATATAACATGCATCAGAAAAATCTCAGAGTATGTTATCCATATTCAAACAGTACAGGGTGAGGTAGCAAATACAGCTTAGACAGAATGTGCTTTGAACATGTCATGAATGAGACTGATCTGATTCAAAAATTATCTCTGCTCTGATTCCTTTAGCCTGTTCATCTGATCTACAAGCCAAGCCACGTTCAACATTCCACTGAAGCTGACAACTAAACAAAGCCAACTATTTTAATGTCTGTTTTGTGGGATTAGATGAAGACAAAATGGCATCTCCAACTCATCAGCTGTGGCTACTCATGTTTGCTCTTGGTGCTGTTGAGCTCATCTGTGGCTACAGCTTTCACAACTGCATTGCAGATCCAAACTCAAACTGGAAGAGCTTCAGCTGCAAAAGTCGCAAGGACAGGCTCATGTCTTTAATCGTGAATGACCTGCCAAGATCCGTCGTCAATCTCACTATCACCTTCAATCCACTGATGCACGTTCCCAACAACAGCTTTGTTCATCTACCAAACCTGCAGAACCTCAGACTGGATCATAACCAGTTAAGACATGTAGATTCTTCAGCTTTCCGTAACTTACATCAACTTCAGTCTTTGAATATGTCCTTGAATGAAATCTCAGAGCTCAACGCGTCATTGTTTGAAGACCTTCAAAACCTCACCTTCCTCTCTTTGGCAAACAACAAGTTAAATAAGTTTCCTGAGGGCATTTTCTTTGGTGTACATAATGCAAACACTTTACTCTTCAGGAATAACTGCCTCACAAACTTCTCAGAGGTTGTGAAATCTATTTCACATCTAATGAAACTGGAAGTCCTGGACCTTTGTTCTAACAAACTGACTTCTCTCAGTCACTCAAATGTGTCTCTGCCTCAGTCCCTTAGTGTGTTGTATCTGTGCAGGAATAATTTGCATACTTTAGGATGTAGCTCTTCTTTTCTCAGCTTTATCAAACTGCTYGATTTGTCAAACAATATTAAACTACGTACCGTGAATTTTCGGGAAGTGAATTTGAGCCACGTRAAGAGTCTACATTTGAATTCAACAAGTGTCAACATAGTGGATTTTTTAAAGATCAGCAACATCAATGCAGGTTGTGTTGACTTCTCTGGCACTGGTTTAAATAACTCAAACAGTATCAATGAACTATGCAGATTACTGAAAACAAAGCTAAAAAGTATTAAAAATGTTCAATTACGTCACAATGGTATTTGGAATCTACACAACTTCAATTTCTCCTACTGTCCTAAAATTACTGGAGCTTTAGATTTATCCTTCAATAAACTCAAATCAGTAAAATGCCCAAGCTTTATCTACAACCAGCTGGGTATTACTAAATTTACTGCAGAGCACAACCTTCTTATGTCTCTCCCAAGCTGTAAAAAGCAAAAAGATTTTCAGTTCAAAAGTATGGAAGAAATAAGCTATCGTTTCAATCGCATTCTCACAGTCAACGCTCATGCATTCGGTCAAACACCAAATATTAGGGTGCTGAAACTCAACATAAATAATGTAGCATTTCTTCATCGACAAGCCCTTAAAGGGCTGAAAAAACTCAAGATACTCCGACTGGACAACAACCTCTTGACAGATTTGTTTAAGGAAACATTTGAAACGAATGTCCAGCTGCAAATCCTTAATCTGCGCAATAACCGCATTTCTGTCATWTTTAAAGAAACCTTTTTTAACTTAAAATACTTAAATACATTGGACCTTGGATGTAATAAGATCACCCATTTTCAGCCATCTGGCCTTGATGGGCTAAAAAGTTTGTCTAAACTGTACCTTGATGGAAACAACCTAAAACAAATTGATTCTTCATTCTATCATATCTTCCAAGATACGCTCACAGTTCTGGATTTAGCAAGCAATCAGATCCGCTTTCTCAGGGAGGAAAACATTTCACCATTTGTAAATCTCAGCAAACTCATWGATCTGAAACTGAACAGCCAGCGGGACCATGGTCTCGCGGTTTTACCTCGCACCTTATTCCGAGGCCTCCATTCACTGAAATCTTTGTATCTCACCAACAATAATATTGTTTATCTTCCTCCGGAGGCCTTTGATGATCTGACCAATTTAACATTTCTCACACTGGAGAACTGCTGTGTTGGAGTGGCCCAATTAGAACCAGGGGTCTTTAAAAATCTAAGAAATCTGACCCGCTTGATTCTAGAAAATATGGGAATACAGAACTTATCCAAGGAGGTTTTTGGGAATTTGACACAGTTACGCATTCTTCAGATCAATCGCAACGTGATGCAGAGCATTCCTGTCAATGCGTTACAAAGTTTGCCTAGACTCCAGTACCTTGACATTCGCAATATTCCTCTAAGTTGCACCTGTAAAAACAAATTCCTGCAAAATTATACAGTGAACAATCCAGATGTTCAGGTGGTCTATCTCTACAAGCTGCCATGTCAACCGGATAAAAGTTTAAAATTTTATAACTTTGATACCAAAGTTTGTTACATAGATCTAGGAAAGTACATGTGTTTCATCAATGTAGCTGCAGTCTTCCTGTTTACAGTCATTCCTTTACTTTATGTCAAACTCTACTGGAAAATTAAGTACAGCTATTATGTCTTCCGTTCCTGGTTTAGTGAGCACTGGAGCAGAATCAGAGACAAAGAGGAAAACTGTAAATACGATGCGTTTATCTCCTATAACTTCTCTGATGAAGAGTGGGTTTTGAATGAATTGCTTCCTAACCTGGAAGGAAATGGATCTTCTTTGAAACTCTGCCTGCATCACAGGGATTTTGAGTTGGGCCGCAACATTGTGGACAACATTGTCACCGCAGTGTACAGCAGCCGTAAAACAATCTGTGTGGTGAGCAGAAACTTCCTACAGAGTGAGTGGTGCTCTCTGGAAATTCAGCTCGCCAGTTACAGGCTGTTTGACGAGCACAGGGACGTTCTCCTGCTCGTGTTCCTGGAGCCTATCTCTGAGAGGCAGCTGTCGTCCTATCATCGCATGAGGAAAGTGATGCTGAAAAAGACTTACCTGCAGTGGCCTGACTCAGACTGCAGTGACCCTCTGCAGGCCCAAGAGCTGTTCTGGAACCAGCTCCGCAGGGCAATAAAAGCAGGGAGCAGACTGGAAACAGAGCAAGACGACAATGATAAAGACTTTGCTCCAGAAAGTAAAGCAACTGAACATTGTGACAATCTGTTAACAAATGAAAGCTATTATTAGTTATTTTTAAAAATAATTTTATTTAAAGGTTTTCAAAAAACTAAAAAAACCAACATTCATTCTTCCACTTTTTCTTGTGCATAGTGTAATCATAAAACCTAAGGCATTTCTTTCTTTTGTTAAACACAAAGTCAGTAATCATTAATGTTTGATACCAATTTTGAGATTTCCTGTTCACCCAAAAACAGATGTGTTGGATTTCCTTAAACAAATGTCAACTGAACTGAGTTGAAATGTAAAACAATTTTTTAAATTTACTTTAAAAGTAAATGAAGTAAATGTGTTACATTTACTCAGTTCAGTTGAGTGAAACCAGTTGAGTACATGCAACACATTTGTTTTGAGTGCAATATGTTGTTGTGTTTGTAGTGTACACCAGAAAAATCAAATAGTTTTCAAAATTACACTGCTTCAACTAAAAATCATGCTTTACAGAGATTTTTTTACTCCAGCATTGTTGTTGAATTCTGCATAATAAAAAAATGCACTGAAAATGCAAACAATGCATAATTGAGTGTTTCTTCATTTAAGCATGTATGGAACTTAAGAAGCATTTTGTGATGTCAGCTGGTGTTTTTTTTATTTAATGCTGGTTTTATCTAAATGCAAGACGACAGAACATAAAATAAAAAGTTCTGATGGCACAAATTCAGGTAGAATTGAGCCTGTGCACAGATTATCAACACATTAGTACAGCCTCATGGGAGGAAAGGACCAGGGCTCAGGGCTCAGTAAAGAGGAGGGTGGAGGTGTTAGGCTTCTTTCAAGCATGTGGGATGGGGGGTAAAACATCATGTCAGTATGATGAGAGCTGAAGGTTGGGCGAGCTGAAAACTGCTCAAAAGGCGGAAAGTGACTGCTCTGAGAGTGGGGATGAAATCGGGTGGGTACCAATGGGGCAAACATGYTTCTGGCAGGTTCAAAGAGGGCTTGTTCTTCTGAAAACTGTGCTGGCTCTGCTGAATGTCCATCTTGAAAGTGAAAGAAGGGTTGAACGTCGCAATAGTCTGTCTGCAGTTCACAGGTCATCTCTCTGGCTTCTCTGTTGGTGTGGTCCGTGAAGCTTTTTGGAAAAGAATCAAAAAAAGCTGACTCTTCGCTTTTAGACTTAAAGTCTWGCCAGAGCTCAGCTTTTTCTTTTTGAAAGAACTTTGGTGCAAACAAGTCACTTGGTACAGATCCAGATGGCTCAAAATCCATGCTGAAGTGATGAGACAAAGTAGGTCTGAAGGCGTCATCAAAAAAATGACCAGATGGTTCCACAGGGTCTGTCAAGCCCTCAGCCATCTTTAGATGAAACACACAAAAAATTGTTATTAGGCATAAAAATATAATTCTATCTGAATTACACATGAAAACATTATATGTTTGACTCATTTGGATGATAAAACAGAATCAATTTTACAATCAAAATTTATCTAAACTCTGAAGCAGACAAGACCCAATTTAAACTAACAATAAAAGATGAAAAAATAAGAAAGACACTTATTTTAATCATTTTATTTTCTACAGTTTAACCCAGATGAAGTAACAGTAGAATGTTATGGACCAAAACTTTAAGATTCTCACCTGTTGCACACTCCAGTGTGGCTGAGGAGTTGGCTCCCAGGTAAGATTTCTACTTCCTGTTGTTGGGACAGATGTCTCTAAAAGAAACAATAACAATACAACATTTGAACTCTGCAGTGCTTGCAACTATGTTTTTAAACCAAGATCATTTTTACAATAAAATAACGCTATTTTTGAATAAGTTAAAAAATACTTTTGTGAACAATAGGAGAAAGCTTTATTATACCAACCTAATATAATACAATATTAGGTGTTAAATACTATATAAACAATAATATCTTACCTGGAAGTAAAACCTCATCTTCTTCCATCRTAACTTGCTCCGGGTCGAGGGTGGCCTGTGTGGGGTTAATATCACATCCAGCACACTGATGCAGCTCCAGGAGGTTTGCCTGAAGCCAGGGTCCGTGACTCTTCTGCAGGGACTTCAGAAGCAACTTCCTGCTTTTTGCCAACAAGTTATTATGTTTTAGAACCGAGAGAGGCAGAGACCCAGACAAATGTGCCGCCACCGCACTGATGACCTCAGAAACTTTTTCTGGATCTTGCCTTCTGTGCTGCATGTCGAGGCTTGCAGCAGTGGGTGAGCTGGAGAGTTGCAGTGAAGCTGGTTTGACACCATCTGCTCTGGTCTGGTGGTCCTGGTTCTTATGAGGTTGCTCCAAATCAGTAATCTTGTGTCTATTTCTGTTCACGGTCGTAACACTGTCATTGCCATCTGAAGGAGTGAGTTGACATGTACCTTTGTTTTCGGACTTCAAATCGTTTTTTGGTTTTGTCGTGGTTGTTTCTTCACTGTGCAGGCTGTGTTTAGATGAGGGGGTGATTTTAAAACTTCCAGACAAAGGATCAGGCTGTTGCTGCGGTCTCTGACCCGGTGTGATATCTGATCCCTGAAGGTTTTTCACTTCTGCCTCTTGGGAAACAGGGCTTGTTTTTTTCCTAACTGGCCTAACATCATCATCCTCGTAAGTGTTCGAGTCAGCACCGGCACCCAGAGCTGGAAYGTGAGTTGCTGAAGACAGATTTGAGGTGTTGTTGTTCTCTTCTGTAACATTCTGTCTGCTTAGCTCAAGTTTGCTTTGATTATTTAGCAACCGTTCAATATCAATGGACTTCACTTTATGGTTGAATAGTCCATGATGTCCAATAAGGCGACTGTCTGTAATGATACTTGGCTCCTGTGCAACGGGGACGGCACTAAGAACGGGTGTGCTCCGCCTTGAAGTCCAGTGACAACTATTACAACTGTTCTGCAAAAATGCAGCGTCTTTACCGCGCTGGCAGTGATAGTGWTGGTGGCGTGATTTGGTCTTCCCAGCCTCCTTCCAACCACCTCTCGTCTGACTTCTTTCTTTGCGGGTTTTTAGGCGTTTAATTTTGTGCTGCCCATCTGTTTTACTAGAATGGTTGAAATATTTAGAGTCCGTGGACACTGTGAACAGACAGCCACGACTTTTATCTGTAGTTCTTGACTGCTTCTTAGAATCTGTTCTCTTTTCTGATGAGGCTCTGCCACGATTGTGGCTCATGCTGCCAAGAGTTCTGCAGAAAAATAACACCGGATATAAAGATTAGCATAAACAGAAAAAAAAAAAGGTACAAAAACACACCTACAGGATGTAGTGCATCGAGCTCTGCTCTTAAATATTGCAACACATGAAATGCCAGCAATGGAAAGATAATCTCATGCATGTACAATCTGCAACTTACAGTAATTGAATCATTAATTAGTCATACTTTCACACTCTAATGTAATACATATTAAGCAAAATTCATTTAAAACTGAATTTAGGAAGCAATATGTTGCAAGAGTTTGCATGATCATTATGTGAACAGGCTTCAATGTAAAAAACAAAACAAACTCATTGACAGCTTCATGGAAATGCATGGCGTCTGTCTTTAAAAAGCAGCTTATGCTCTGAGCTGAAGCCTGCCAAAACACTTTCAGATTAGGTCACTTACAACCACAAAGCAGCACATTTAAAAGAAAAGCACTGTGCACTTGAGCATACACTGCAAAAACTGTCCATCTTACCAAGTTTTAAAATCTTATATCCAGCCCAAAAGTMTTTTTGATTAAGACAACCAAATTTTAAAGATATTCTGAGATGTTTAAGTCATTTACTTAATGTAAACTATGTTAAGAAGTCTTAGATTTTACTTACTGTACTGATATATGCACCAGATTGTACACTGCAAAAAAGGTCCACCTAACCAAGTTTTAAAATCTTATATCCAGCCAAAAAGTCTTTTTGATCTTGTTTTGAGACTGATTTACTAAACAAGAACTGATTGTGTCAGAATAATAATCTTGTTTTCAGAATGTGTAAGATTATTTGTCTTGTTAGTCTGAAAATTTGACTCAAATATAGTAAGAAAAAAATTCTGCCAGTGGAGTAAGAAAATTTTACTTAGTAAGATTATTGA